AGAAGAAACAGGTCTGCATTGCATATCGCCTTTACACTTGAATAGAAAAAGTTACTGGAAGGCTGCTGGTCACAGAATCATAGCTAAATTGGTCCTGATATTAGCCAATCACCAGGGCATGACAAACAGGTACACACAAGTAGGAAATGAGTATTTCAACAGATACATACAAGAAGGTCGTGTTAATTAGGAACATCTTAGTCAAAAACCTGACTCCCTCCATATAAATTAGAAGAAAAATACCTAAACATCTAGTTTTCAACAGCATCACTGGCAACATACTCTCGATTTCACTCATACTGTGCAATCATACTACAGTCACATAATCCAGTACAGTTTGTAAATTACTGGGTTGGAGATTTTTAATGATTTGTCATTCTGAGTACAAACATGCCCTTAGCTGACAAAAACTACAGAGAATGAATGTACTTTAACGAAAACTACAAAGAATGAATGAAGGGTCTGGAGCACAAGTCCCGTGAGGAAGGGATGAAGGAGCTGGGATTGTTTAGTCTGGAGAATATGAGGCTCAAGGAGGACCCTTATCACTCTCTACAAGTACCTGAAAGGAAGCTGCAGACAGGTGGGGCTTTGCCTCTTCTCCCAAGCAACAGGTGACAGGACCAAAGGGAATCAACTCAGGTTGTAACAGAAGAGGTTTAGATTGGACATTAGGAAAAATTTCTTCACGGAAGCAGTGATTAGGCATTGGAACAGGCTGCCCAGGGAAGTGGAGAAGTCACCGCCCCTGGAAGTTTTCAACTGATGTGTAGATGGGGCACTTAGGGACATGGTTTAGTGGTGAACTTAGTTGTGCTGGGTTAACAGCTGGACTCCATATTAGAAGTCTTTTCCAACCTCAACAATATTATGATTACGTGAAAATTTGGAAGAGGCATTGTAGATGCTAAGCCTATTACTCTCATTATTACTGTGTTGTACACAGTATCTGTTTCGAGGCAGAAATGTGAACTAGAGAGTGGTTCTCAAAACCAGTATGTAAATACTTCCATTTAGAAAATATTGCGACAAAAATTAAAAATGTTGCAATCAAAAGAAAAGAATTCAAGTCAAAACAAACGTATTGATTAAAAATCCAACTGCAAAAAAGGGAAAGGGAAAGTATAATAGCAAACAAGTACAGATGTAAGGATTTTCCTCAGCCAAAGCCAAATTCTTTTCAAACAGGAGAACCTTAATGAAAGACTTATCATAATGAACTTTGCAGCAGTTTGAGCCACCAGCTTGATTCTGCAAGTTGTTTCAACACTTAAAATTTTCACTTACGTCAAATGGATTTGGGTAAGAAAACAATGTAAAAGTGGGCACAAAGGTCCACATTCAGTTTAAAATCTTTGCAATAAAGTGTAATTTTCCAAAGGAAAAATAATGAAAGGGTATCTTTATCTGAATGTGCTTTTTAAGTGAAAACCAACAGTTCTTTTTGAAGAGTTCTTTAACGTGAAATATAAAGAATGATACTTTTGCTTTCAAATGTGAAGAAATATGTCAAAGTTATGGAATAAGACTGATCTGCTGCAAATATTCCAAGTTATTATTTAGTTTTCAACTGAAGAACTTTTACTGGAATTTTGAGGTTTCAAAAGAAGAGACAGTGTACTCTGCATCGCTCTTATAATCACTCTCACTCTTAATACACTCATCTATTTCCCTTAAAATGCCCATACACTTGAACTTAGTTTTAAATTCAGTGCAGTGAATACGTAGGAATTTCAGCTCTCCAGTCCACAACAATCCAACTCATGCCACACCTTAAAACTTTTATTCTTTATAGGGAGAGTACCCTCATCACCAGTGGTACAAGGTTGTATTCTGAACGACCCCAAAGACTTTGTAACACTACTCTGATTTCAGAGCTTAAATCCTCAAACCTGAGTATTTGCTTATGATACAAAGCTTTACAGTCACACTTGTAGTTCAATTACCTACTGACATCAATAAAGATTTCAGAAAAGCATTATAAATTATTGGGGTACTAGGGGTGATTGATTAAGTAAAAATAATGGTCTTTAAATATTTCACCAGGTTTTAATATAATAGTATTAATTAAACATAAAAAAATATATTGGAGAAAGCATAACACAGGTTTGAACTTTGGAAATCATTATAGAGAAGCTACTGCATGCTATAAGGTTGGCTACAGACTAGAACATAATTCAAACACATTAAATTCTGCAGTAAAACATTAAGCTGTTAATACACTAACATCTTCAATTACTGATTGCTCTTCCACCTTTCAGAGTGATATATCAACAATTATTTCCACTGCGTCGGTAGATGCTCTATCAATCATGTGCCATAATTCAACAGTGGATTCGAAACCAGCATAATCAGCAGATAAGATTTTATTGCAATACATTAAAGATCTATTTATGTCAAAAGTCTCATGCAAAAAAAAAGAAAAAGGAAGATATGGACAGCTTAAAAAAAATCTGATTTCTTTTCTAAATAGCTTAATAAATTTGGAATAGTCAGAGCATAATTATTTCAAGCACATCTGATTAGTTCTGATTCTGCCTGTTTTTATGTTGTTTATGTTCTTGTCATATGAGATGACATTCATATAGCTGATACTGTCAGAATACAGGAAACTAAAGGCAGCAAGGGTATAAGATCCACTGCCTGCTGCAGAGCACACTCTGTCATAATCCATGCTGGATCCTGAGTCAAACCATTCTTCTGCTGTCAACAAACACTGGTGGAATAAGACAATATTTCTTCTCCTGTTGCTACTCACTCAGACTACATATCACCTTCCTACTCCAGACAGTTAGCCTGTCAGTATGCATAGCAGAAGCCTGACTAAGAAAGCTAAGGATTTCATCAGTACACTGTCCATCAAGAAGGATCTGCTGTTGTAAAAATCTAGGCTGTTACATACAAAAAACCCCATTAATTTTAAAACCCCAAAGCTAAGAAATTAGGATTTTAGAAATGTCAAAATAAAGGTAGACTGGGAAACTTTGATTCTGCTACCGGCTGTGCATATCCCTTCACATCACACCATATATGCATGCCAAATAAATACATGTTTTCCTTCAGACTAATGAATCACTCAGAACTCAGGATGAATAAACCTCCAGGAAGCAGTTGTGGAGCACTAATGATTTATCCACAGTATATCAACCTTGTTTAGAGAAGGTGGAAGATGTTTAGTGAACATGATAGGGAATTACAGTAAGGAGGAGTATGCTGTCATGCATTAAAACACTACTCTTTCGGAACAACAGTAGAATCTGTTTCTATCACAGGGTTTCTACATGATGACATTTACTTACGTAAGTCATACGCCACCTTCCAACCCCCAAGTTTCCCCAGAGGCTGAACAGAGGTAAAAGACCCGTGACTGAAGGTAAACAACATAATACCTATGCACTTGTCTTGAAATTCTTGACCCAATTAAAATTGTTCCTGGAAAATACAGCACTTAGGGGTTCTGGCAGGTGCAGACAGAGTTCACATTATACATTCTCAGTCTCCTTTTTTCAACAGTGTCTTTCAGAAGTAAATCACGGATATCCTTCAGTCCAAGTGAACTGTTGCTGCATCCTGCTCCTAAACACCAACCTTCCCAAAAAGGTCTTGGCCAGTCAGACCCTCTTATGTCTGAGTGGAAACATTTCCATCAAGTCAGAAGAAAAGGCCCTGATGAAAGACAGCAGTTGGGAGAAGAGATGATGCTATGAATACAGGAACAAACTGAAAAAATGGATGTTTTTGAGAAAGTTAGGATTGTCTCATTACTCAAATAGAAAACAGCCTACAGAAGGCAGAGAGATCACAGGATACCTGTCTCAGATTGCAACCAAAAATTTCAGTCAAATTATAGTCATGCCTACCTTTATTTTCATGGTTTGCAGCTCAAGACATCTGATTTGGAAAAACACTGAAGACACGCAATTGTGATTTAACAATAGTTGAAGACAGTTCTAACAATGAGATGAAGAGGAGGTAATGGGATCCACACTGACATTTTCATCTCAACACAGTGGTTGCTAAAGAATAAGTTGTTGTTACTCTTTGCAAATATTTAAAAGTAAAAAGTTGAGTAAGAAGGCAGACACACAGTTTAAAGGAAAGATGGATGTTGGCAAAATCAGCTGTGGTTATCTGCAGTGGAAGTTCTGGTCCTTCATTCTGACAGTTGTGATAGAGAAGAAACAGATCTCTTACTGTGTTATCTTAACATAGTAATATTGACCTTATGAGGCGTTTCCACTGTGGCTGCTTGAAAGAGAGACTATCCCCGTGCTGTGAAAACCACTCATTTCAAATTATTGCATGTTGGTAGTTTGTCAAAAGTTGGTTGGTTTTTTTTCCTTTCTTTCTCCTCTTAGCAAAGGAATAAATACTTTTTTTCCTGACTCACAAACATACTCTGTAGTCCTACTTTTGAAAGTACCTGGTCAAATTTGTGTTCATTGTAAACAGTGAAGCAAAGTAATCATTGAAGCTTTCAGTTCTAGTCACCAGTATTTGCTTTCACTCCCTGTTAAGAAATGGTATATTTAGTTTGCTTTTCTGCTTCTACTTTCAAGACTACTGGTACAATTGAGACTGTTCATTGAAAAAACACAGCATTTACATGTCATGAAATTCCACAGACTCATATAAAAGATTTTATTTGGAAATATTTAAGTTTATTCCCCAAGATAATAATATCTTGGATAGGGTCAAGAGTTTGATACTTATCATAGTGTGTAAAAACCCAGAACATCTGCATTGCAGTCCATCTGCTACAACAACCTAAATCCCGCAAGATCCTTTAGATTGATAGGTGTATATCGACTAATTGGAAAAGTGGCACATAAAACAACAGATGTCCAACATCACCTTTCCAAAACATAATCCAAGCAGACACAGAAATGGTGGACTTAAAAACTCTAGGAAAGCAGGAAGGCAGGGAAAGTCAAAATAGTTACTAAGATTTCAAAAATTCATGCTCTCACAAATACTGTCAACTAGGACTTTCATTTTACCTTGAGAAGGTATGTAGGAATGTTGCTGAAATCGACAGGCAACTTCAACAGGAAGCGAGCTGAGAATTCTCCAGTCTGTGGAAGAAAGGTAACACTGATGAGATCTGGTGGCTAAAAGAGAACCACAAATGTTCTGATGAAAACTGAGTAGGAGCTCATAGCAAACAGAAGGGCTGAGATTTAAAACAAAAGTGCTGAATAGAATTACGAAAGAGGGAAAAAAAATATTAATGATTTCATAGATGTTATATGACAAAACACCTTAAAACCCATAAAACATCATTGCCAGTAAGTCAACAGCAAAAAGTAGTTAGAACAAAACAATGTGCCCAACAAAAATCAGACTACATTTTGTTACACCCTAAATATAGATGTATCTTGGCTGTACTCATTTCCGGACAAAGGTCTGGCAGGACCTGCAAACAGTCTGAAAGCAAAGCTAAAAACCTGACAAATTTATTAGAGTTTATAGATATAACAGAGGCACTTTTACAAACACTGCAGATATGCATAAAAGAATTTGGGTTGAGAAAGGTGAGAATGTATCAAATGTCCTCTGAGTAAACATAGAGTAAAGAACTGAATTAGAGGGTTATAAACAATTTGTTTTCAGAATTATGTAACTCTCAACACCTAGACAACTGTTTACTGAAAATCTGCCAAGTGTCCCCTATACATTGCTCTTTTTTTATGTGTAAAGTGTATGCAAAGGAAATGGAAAGGATTTCCTTTCTGTTTCATATACTTAAAACCAGACTTTGACCACCTGGTCATGAAGCAACCAAGTTGATTGTTTTTTAAAAACGAATGCCTGCCTGATTTCTTCCATATTAATTTTTTGTTATCTCTATTTTTTGTTCAATAAAGTAGGCACACAGCAGCTGTATTTGTTCGGTACGCTGAACTGGCAGCAAAGAAAGTGTTAAACATTGATCTTATGCAGTTAAGTACAAAGAACTGGGAAAACTTCAGACAAGTTAGCAAAACCTTTAACACTACCCTATTTTTGATATACATATGTTACTTAGTTACATTTTGACATACAATTTTTTAAAAAACAGCACTCCATTTTAACAAGCAAAGGGACAAATCAAAGCTGCATGAAAATTCAGCATTTGCTCTCCCACAGTAACATATATACACTGCTTTGCTATTTCCCAAACATAGCTGTCTGCACCTAATTTTCATTTTAATATTTTAAATATTTTGCATAGCGAGAAGAAAAATACAGATGTCAAATAGATACCTTTGGGGCCACTGCCTTACTACAAGTAGTAGATGCCATCACAAGAACACCAACCACACAGCTATGAGGACAGCTTGCCAAAGGCTACAACTCCTTAAGAGGAAAGCATTCAAAGTGTCTTGTACTGGTACCAAAAACTTGTCACATGCCTTTGCAAAACAGTCAGTACTTTTGCCTCCCCTGTCAATTAGCTGTGCTCATCCATAAACTGCTTTGAGCTCAGCAAAACAGACAACATGAAGGTTGTCACTGGCCACATACTACCAAACCACAAGCCTCTGTAATGATGGACCACATCAAATGCTATTCATACTGATTCAGAAAGGAATTGGCTGAATAAAACCCTGAAGGAAACCAGCTTGCCGATGCAGAAGCCTTTCTGAGAAAGCACTGGAGGTCAAAGCCAATGGAAACTGCCTTTCCAAAATGAATAGTAAGCTGCTAAGCAGGGCAGTTGAGGAATATAAGTGAACGTTTGCGCAGCACATTATTTTCTGTGGTACTGACACAAAACAAAACCGAGAAGCAACAAAATTACTTCATTTATTTTTTTGACTAAATTAAGCAAAGATTTCACCCCAAGCAATTAAGCACACACGGACAAAGATGCTGTATTAGGCAGATATAGAATAAACAATGCTAATGTCAGTGCCAATTTGTTTCTGGGTCTATCTACCAGGCATGAACTAGAGATAACTCATTTTACCTTTAAGTCACTAAACAAGAAAAAACAAGAGCTGGAATGCAATCGAAATCTTTCCAATGGCACCCTTTCAAGTTCTATCATTTGCCAAAGGGTTTGTGTGATGTTGGACTGTAATCCACCCAGCTGCCAGCCAGCTCAGAACTGCCCTTAAAATTTATCCCTGGTAGCCACATGAGACAGGCAAAGAAATCACTCACAGAAACACTATGCAACAAGAAGTGAGTGTACATTAAATTCCAACTCTGAAACCTTTCCTGATGAAACTACTTGTGAGGACAGATGCCAACTTTCTGATGTTATATTACTTATTTATAAATATCATGGAAAAATCACCGCCTTCTTATGAATGTCAAACCTGAGGACTGCTGTGGCGACAGTCAAGGTGTTCACTTTTTGTTCAGAGTGAAATGGGTATTATATGCAGCGCTTCTCTTCTGGACTTACAAAAAAATGCCACACAACATTTCCCATAAAATCCAGAAATTTCTTCTGGTAAAATACGGAGTCTGATGAACTGGGATAGCCACTGAACAGATGAATGGTCTCTAACAAAAGCATCAGCTGCTCCATAAAGCGGGCTTTCAGTCTAGGTCTTTTATCTCATTCAATCAAGATTATTTTGCTAAATATTACTTCCAAAAGTGTTCTGGCCAGGCAGGGAGCAGGCCCTGTCCATGGTGCTCAGCTACCCAGCCCCAACCAGCTGGATACAGTCATCAGTCAAGAATGATGAATTTCTGGCCACAGCACGGAGAGATTAGATATTTAATGTACTCCTGCACCAGCTGGTACTTTGCCAACATGAAGCTACTAGGCTAAATAATAGTTTGCCTATTTGTCATAGATCTAGAAGATCACTTCAGGAAATTGGAGATAGTGGAACAAAGGTATAAAAGCAGATTTATGTTCTATTTTGGGACACAGTGCTAAATTCAGGCCTCCTCTTCAAAGTTGTTTTAACTCACACACCTAAGATGATTGCTTTCATAATACTTTTATTTCAGAAATCTGCTGAACTACTATTGATTCCTGATAGACAGCAACAACCTGAATTTCATTGCCTTCTAGGCACAGGAGATAATGGGCAGTTTACCTCCTGCTTTGGAAAAACACTCCTCATTTGCTGATCCTCAAGGCTAACAAAACAGTAACCAAGGACAGGAAGGAGAACTAGACAAGTTAGTTTCCTAGTTTTGTTTTAGGACACTAATAAATAAGCCTCTGTCATGAAGATACCAAGTTCATAGCATCTCCAAACAAGATTCACAAGAATCTTCTTGATAGAGAATGCAAACTTGGAAAACAAAGCTATGAAAACCTCAAAAATAGCTCTGCAATGATGAAAAGGATTTGACTCAAAAAGTATTTAAGATTTATTTTATTGGAATACTTTTAACTAAGACAGCATTTTAAATAAATAAAAAAAAAAAGTTCTTTGTTGAGCCACCAAAGACTCAAAAGGATTGAGTAGATATGTCTTTCCTATGGAAAAAGGAGAAAAGCCCTAGTTTTCTATCATCCTGAGCAGAATTTTAGCAGCTGGTAAAAACTATGATAAAATCTCAGTACAGTTCAGAAAGCCTTCTGTACTTCAATAAACCACTCTGATAAAATTTAGAGATGTAACAAGTTGTTTGTGGAGTAAGCTATGAAGAATAACATTTATGAACAAATTAATTTCAATGAAATATTCTGATACAAAAACATTAAAAAAAAGAGATCTGAATATCTCCGATGAAGAAAATTTTACTTGAGTTAAAATAAAAAAAGCCTAGATGACTTGTCATCTAGAAAGGAAAAGAAAAACAGGCGAATGTACGTAGTGAGTTGTAAAAAAAACATCCTTCCATCACCTGTAACTTAAGGATGATAAAGTGACACAAAGCTGAATTCTAGGCCCTGCTAATAGGAGTGCTGAATTTTCATCAATTTTCAGACTTCATCTATTTCAGAAGAAACTGCTCCTGAAGGCCAGTTTATCTTAACAGTATGCTATTTCTGAAAGCAAGAGGGAAACATGTTTCATCATAAACACCATTAGATATTTCCTGACATATCCTACTCCAAACTTCCCATGATAAATATATTACCAGTGGAAAAAAAACCCTGATTTTTGCAGAGCTTACTCTGTGGCAGATTTAAAAAAAAAAAAAAATCAATTCACACACAAACCAAAATGTCTCCATTGCCCACGGCCTCATTTTAGAAGGCTGAGATGGCATACACAGAGTGTTTCTATACAGCACAGCACATTTCCCATGCAAGGGATATAACTTCAGGAAACAGATAAGCCATTTTATTGTCTGACTTGTCCTATGAAAGCATGGCCCTACAAACTCACTGCTCTAGCCCATCTTGCCTCCTTTTGCAAAAAATTAGTTGGGTTAGTTTTTCCTCTCCAGTTTTCCAAAACTCCTCAGCTTAGACAAGAGCGAGAGAGATACTGTCAACTGCAGCCAGCAATTAAATCAACTCAATCATAATGTATCATAACCACACCCCGACACATCCTCCCCCCAAACTCGTTGGTTGGTTGGCAGGGTGTCATACCAACACTTTTATTCTACCTTTCAAATCTTCAGAGCTAACTCAAACTTCCACCTAACACTGTACAGGCTTTTCAACAGTTTCAAAGTTTTCATCTATAAATCAGATGAACGAACAGCAGGTTCAAAAACAGTGGCTCACCTGGAAATCTGGTTCAGCCAAGGTAATGGAATCAAAGCAATGTACAAAACAGGGAGTATAGAAAATGAGCAGGAGTCAAATAGAAGTTTTCTCCATTGGAAACAGAAAGCATGACAATCCACAATAAGAACTCCAGTTTTCCAAGGCAAGAACTGTATTTGTTAAAAGCATTTTAGCTGAAATAATAGCTTACCCAGTTGTTTTTTTTGCCAGCATAGATCTCCATGTTTTCTCCATACTGGGGCTCTTCTAGTAAAGTCTGATATTCAAACATGAGACGAGAGCTCTCACGTAATCGGCCACACTGGAATTGGTGATACTGCTGCACAAGCTCTTTCACAACAAGCAGGAGGCATTCAGGGTTTGAAGGATTCCAAGAAGCTAAATTCTGTAGAATTAGAAAAGAACAGAGATCTAAACTGTTTAGAGCAACAGAAAGACAAGCAATCCCCCTTCCATACTGATCTCAGAGGCACATATGCATGTGGGAGCTCTGTGACAAAGCTAAACCATAATATTAAAAGCAAAGGTTCTATCATGCTTTGGAAGAAAACCAGGTGAAACAGCAAAAACTTTATGTCAAATACCATAAACAGGGCTACTACTAGGCATATATAGGTCTGAATTACCATTCTATTCTTTCCTAAAATTATACTGTTGCATCTGAGAACTTGAAAAGTTTGAATTATGACTGATATGAAACACACAAGCATTAGGTAAGAACACCCTGCACAGTAACTGATTCAAAAAGCAGTCAACCAAGTGAATATGCCAAATTGACACCAAGTATAGAAACAGCTCTGCTTCACTGTTCAAATATTGGCTGTAGTATTCATAGTGATGGAGCAAATGGGTTCTCTTCCCTTGCCTCGACACTGTGATTTATTTCACCTTAACTGCCTCATCACCAGAGCTACCTTGACTCATCTCCTAAACACAAATGCAGACACAACTCTCTTCAATGTGCCTGGCGGAAATTTTTATTACAAGTTGACTGCGTTTCAAGAAACACAACTAACAGAAATAAAAGTTATAATACAATTAAGATAACTGTCAGCAGCACAGTAGCAATGTTATCACTCAGTTTAACTACTCTTAACATTGGCTTGGACCAGTCTCCTGTGCACAGTAAGTTTTTTTCAGGAAGGTATTTGATGTTACAAACCATGCCTAACATGACCCATGTTGCATGCCTACATCTATTTGACCTACAACAGACTTATGTGAAAGGCAGATAAGGACTCACCCTGTATCTGCGGTCTTAGAGCATGAGACAGTACTGATGCAAAACTACTTAGGCCCTCATATGCTTCATACATGGGTGGGTCCTCAAGAGGGTCTTCTTGAGACAAGCTCAGAGCATGTTAATGTTGTCATGTGGTCATCTTTGAGTATAAGCATATTTCATAGAATCAGGGAATGGTTTGGGTGGTAAGGATCTTAAAGATCATGTACTTCAGGGGAGGGACACATTCCACTCGACCATGTTTGGTCAGTGCCCAACTGAGTCTGGGCCTTCAACACTTCCAGGAATGGGGCATCCATAACTTCTCTGGGCAACCTGCCCCAGTGTCTCACCACACTCACCGTAAAGAATTTCTTCCTTATATCTAATCTTAACTTAATCTATTTCAATTTAAAGCCATTACTCATTCTTCCACCACTCCATGCCCTTGTAAAAAGTCCCTCTCCAGCTCTCTTGAAGGTCCCTTTAGGTACTGGAAGGCTGTATATGTCACACAGACATTTGACAACAAACTTGCTACAACAGGATTTTAAAGTGCATGGATTGTACAGGGAACATTAAGAAACTCAGAAATGGCAAAGATGTCTGCATTTTACAATTAAGTGAAGATATAATACAGTAGCTTCATATACAATTCCTTATCTGTATCTGTACTCAGTGTAGTTACAGACAGCATGTTACTTTTGTCCTGTAAATTGCAGACATTTCATAAACAAATTATACGTATAATTTACATTCTTCAGCAAGAACAAAAATAACACAATGACCATGTTTTGCCTCTTCAGTGAAAAAACTGCTTTGATATGCAGCATTTTCTACAATGAAAGGGCAGAAAATACTTCTGTACTTCGAAATAGATTATCTGAAGTCTGCCTTGTATTCAAACATAAAAAAACGGTATTTCTTAAGCAAGGTTACATAAACGAATGAAGACGGATAAAACCACCTCCCCCACAGTACATCAGCTATTCATACTTTGTGCAACACCAAAAGCAAGTAAATACAAAGGAATGGGTTGCACAGAGAAGTCATTGAGTCTCTGTACTTGCTATCCTTGAACCTCTGCTTTTAGAAGCTACCACAGTGCCACAGACCGGACATTTGACCATGGCTTGACATAAAAGTACTCTGCTTTTCCCCCTCCTAGACAGTGGGAACACCTACAAAACTGGAATATTATCAGGGCCGTATCTTAAAAGGTAAACTACATTCCAGAGTAACTGGTGAATGGGGGAGAAACTAATCGTGTTTCATGTAAGTTCCTCAAATACATTCTACTAAGTGACTGAAAGCCTTGTCTTGCCTTGTCTGCTGTCTACAGCTGGTAAAAATTTATTCTCAACTTGAAACCATTTAAGCTTATCCGATTCTATAAAATACTAGAGAAAATCCTCCAGGTAGACAGCATCTTCTAGGAAACACATTTTCTGTCATGCAGTCTGAAACCAGACTGAGTATAACCTTAAATTTCCTGTTCCCAAGCTGCTGTTCAAATAAAGCATTTCCAGAAAGCCAGAGGATGTAATATGCCAGTATGTATTGATATCAGTCAGACAAGTGGGAATAACCTTTCCTCCTAATGACATTGGTATAACACAATAGAAATGTTCTGTCAAAGGAAATGACCAACAATATTTTAATAGCTGACCTAAATGCAACTGAACCTTTTGTTTTTTAAATAACGTTATACTACCTAACAAAAAAAGAGCAAGAGGAAATCCATTGTCAGTTTTGCAGCACAGAGCTAGAGTAGTGCCCTCTTCAAAGAATTCAAGAACACTGCTTATTCTGTATTGCCTTAAAGCTACAGGAATTTAAATGAATGATTCGACTGTAGGATCCTTACTATACAGCTTTCATTCAGCAACTAAAGTTTCAAAGTATAACGTGGTTATAAAAATAAATCACCTGGGGAAAAATTCAACTACACCTATATATATGAATTACAACATATTCTCACCGGTGAAAGAGTAAACATACAACGGCTACACAAATTTGCTGTAACAGGAGTTCTGATTTATATAAACAATTTTTAGCTTTAGAATTTATTATTGTATTGCTTGTTATTTGGCAATGGCCATTATAGCTCTATTCATTTTGTTAACTTTGCAGAAGGGCTGTTCTTTTCAGAAGACCTAAACTCATAAATTTTAACACAAACACTACTGAATACAGTGTCATGTTTATGTATGAAATTTCTTTTTACATATCTTAGTGTACCTTATTTGCCCTAAGCATTACGTTCATTCACTTGAAAATACTTTTAAACAATTTTACTGTGATCCAATTTCATCAGTATGTCAAAACATGAGCTACGCTGTTCTCAGTTTCAAACAGCACTTTCTTTAATCTTCCTTCTGTTTTTGAAATCAAAGTAAGCAACTACCTGTAACATATACGTTGAAACCTAAGGTAGAATTTTGATGTTTGTCAAGTTTATCCCTTTTAGAGTGTCTTCACTGCTACAATTTCAGCATTATAAAGATTATTCTGAGAACACAGAAGTATTTGTAACTTCAGTTGATGAGAGTAGTGTTCCTGCAACAGGAAGCTGACCTCCTTCTTTAAAGGTAAAGGATCTTCTAAATAAGATTTTATTTAGCGATGCACTATTGTATTCACTATTAGACTTGGGAAATCGTTTTAATCAGCAAAATCTTAAACTAAAGGCTTTGGAGCAAATAGAGTAGTAGGCTGTGTGCTTCAATTTCTGATTGTTTGCCTGAAGGCTGCATTCCAGCCCCAGCCAATCCAGCTTTTTAAGAGACTGTATTCAAAAATATTTAAAAGATAAGAACAGAGTGAGCTACTGCTCTTTGTATTCCACAGCTTCAAGTTCTGCTACAAAACTCTGAGGAGAAATAAGTTCTGAATGCAACTTCAAAATTTAGTTGTTAGAACTTTAGAAAAACCTGGAAATACAACCACAGACAGACTGCCGAAGCCAAGAAGGTATGAAAAACACAATTAAAGAGATAATCAGAAAATACGTATAGAGAAAAAGACTTGTTGCTTTCTCTGGCTTCTATTGAAATCTCCTTCTGCCTTGCTCACAAACTCATACTTTCACATCATTTTATCAAAATCACGTGCATGCTGAAAAGAGGTTTTTCTGTGAATTTGCCATAAAATTGTGGTTTAAATGAATTTTATGTCAAAGATAATGAGCACAGTGAGTGGGGTACTGACAGACTAAGTTACATATTTTACTCAGTAAATCCTGTCTAATTTGAAATGAGATTTCTACAGACTTTCCAGAGAGTTAATCAAATAGAACAATCACTAATGCATTTAAAATAAAGAAATCCAGACTTGGGTGCAATTCCTTGCCTTGTTTGACAATAGGTGTCTCTAAGTGAACTCTGCAGTGCAAACTCACTAAGTTACTCAACAGTTAGCCAGCCAGACTGAAAATGGACCACTGCACAACAATACAGTACAAATCAATCCAAACTGTGCATCTGCAACTCCTTATGCATTTGTGCTCATCTCACATGAAGGCTTACATGCACCTCTCAGCTTGGTTATGACCATCTTTAATGTTGTAATTTTTTCAGTGCATCACTGAAGAATTTACCTGTCATTTCTGAAGACACAGATGGAGGCTCAATTAAACAATTCTCTTCTGTCTAGACACTGCTTGCATGTATCTGCATGATCTCCACTAAAACTAGGAGCAACTTCATCTTTCAGATCTTATTTTCAACATTTTAGTTTTTAATTTCAATCTTTATTTATGGCTTTTGGCTTGGCCACACTGCAACTTGTATAACCTTTATTTTCCAAAGAGATAAATTGTCACTTCATCTTAGGAGATACTGTGGACACAAGAGCCTGGTAAATGTCATCTGTGACAAGTGGCTAATCCTCATTGTTCCAATTAGGGAATGAATTCAAAATGATCACAGAATATGCTGAATTGGAAGAGACCCAAAAGGATCATTGAGTCCAACTCCTGGCCCTGCACAGAACCATCCCCAAGAGTCACACCATGTGCCTGACAGTACCATCCAAACACTTCTTGCACTCTGGCAGGCTTGGTGCTGTGCCACTTCCCTGGGGAGCCTGTTCCAGTGCCCAACCATTCTCTAGGCGAAGAACCTTTTTCTAATATCTAACTAAAACAGGAATAAATTCAAAAT